TCTTGCTGACGACGCCAAAATTATGAGAAGGATTAAGACAGAGGAGGACAGCTTGAGGCTTCAAGAAGACCAGAAAAAGCTGCAGGAATTGGTCGAACAAAAGGCTGTTTAGAGTTTTAATCCAAGCAAATGTAATGTAATGAAGATAGGGGTAGGAAGCAGGAGACCAGATACAAGGTATCACTTGGGAGATGAAATACTTCAAGAGTCCGAGAGAGAGAAAGACCTGGTGGTGGATATCACGCCTGACCTGTCCCCTGATGCTCATATTAAGAGGATAACAGCAGCAGCATATGCCAGGTTGGCTAACATAAGAACGGCCTTTAGAAACTTGTGTAAGGAATCTTTCAGAACATTATATACCACATTTGTCAGACCAATCCTGGAGTATGCGGCCCCAGCATGGAGTCCATATTTAGTCAAGCATAAGACTAAAATGGAAAAGGTTCAAAGGTTTGCCACCAGACTAGTACCCGAGCTGAGAGGTATGAGCTACGAGGAGAGACTACGGGAATTAAACCTCACTTCGTTGGAAGACAGAAGAGTTAGGGGTGACATGATCACCACATTCAAGATCCTCAAGGGAATTGACAGGGTTGATAAAAGACAGGCTGTTTAACTCAAGGGGCACACGCACTAAGGGACACAGGTGGAAACTGAGTGCCCAAATGAGCCACAGAGATATTAGAAAGAACTTTTTTAGTGTCAGAGTGGTTGACAAATGGATTGCATTAGGAAGTGATGTGGTGGAGGCTGACTCCATACACAGTTTCAAGTGTAGATATGATAGAGTCCAATAGGCTCAGGAATCTGTACACCTGTTGATTGACAGTTGAGTGGCGTGACCAAAGAGCCAGAGCTCAACCCCCGCAAGCACAACTAGGTGAGTACACACAACAATGAATAACACTGTTTTTCACAGATTACCTATTATATCGCATATAATAAGTGAGAGAATAGAAACAATATATGCTCGTTAAAAGTCAAAACTAGCGAGGCAAGTCGACACTATTAAGGAAGTAATGGTCAGTGGTCGTAAGGAAACATGATGATCTACTATAATTAGGTCACAAGATAACAGTAACAATTAGGCAAGATAACAATAGCGTAGTTAAGGGTCGCTAGCAGGAGAATGTGTGAGAGAGATATTTTCCGGGCCAAATATACAAGCACCCTGTACTATATATTTTAATTTATGAAAAAGAAATTTAAAGCCATATTAGCACTGGTCTCGTTGCTTTCTATTCTCTCTCTCTCTCTCTCTCTCTCTCTCTCTCTCTCTCTCTCTCTCTCTCTCTCTCTCTCTCTCTCTCTCTCTCTCTCTGTCTCTCTGTCTCTGTCTCTCTGTCTCTCTCTCTCTCTGTCTCTCTCTCTCTCTCTCTCTATCTCTCTCTCTCTCTCTCTCTCTCTCTCTCTCTCTCTCTCTCGCGCTCTCTCTCTCTCTCTCTCTCGCTGTTTTATTTCCCCGTCTATTGTCTCTTCCGTGTGACAGTGTCACACCCCTATATTTCTTCCTTCCCAGCATAGAAGCCTCATGTCTCCGAAGCCTTAGTATTCTCTGATGTTCAGGGAACATTTTCATGTGTGGGAAAGCGTGGACGTGATTAAGCTGGCTGTAAAATGCCCAGCTGAGTTTGACAATGCAAGGGGCTTGCGCCTTTTGAGGCACAAGACGGCGCCAGCTCTCCTGTTTCCCGCAAGCCGTCATTACGCTTCCTGGCACCTGATTGCCTAGGTGAGGTCACGTGCCAGAAGTTACCAATGAGGAGAGCCCTCGGGCGGTGTGATGTCACGAGGCGGAGGGCTCTTGCGGCGGCTGGCGCCTGGGCGGGAGAGTACGTCACAAGACGACCTAGAGTGTGGACGTGCTTGACTGAGCTCCGGATCTAGTGAGCCCTTACCAGTAGATTTAAGCTTCGCTTCGATACTGTAGACAGGCTGGGAGGCCATCCAACTCCCATGGAGTGCCCAGAAGCAAGGACGGGCCTCATTAGAGAGCCAAGAGCTCTATCAAGAGTCTGCAGCAGACGAACATTGGGGCTCGAGACATCTGGGACGCCCAGCGAGCCGCGTTACACATATCAAGTGAGAAGCTACGGCTAGGCCATATCTACTGGCAGTGAGGCGAGGGGAAGCTGTGCTGGACTGCGAGGTGTCGGCAGTGCCAGTGAGAGTGGAGGACGACGACGGAGGTACCTGTCTCCAGTACACCGTACAAGAGGAGTAGGAAGGCAGTACCTGTTGGGAGTGAGCATGGTGAGGACGCGATACCATGAGGACGACGGAGGAACCTGTATGTGTGGGAACTGTTCGTCGGCAGACCAGAAGTCAGGACCAGGAACCTCAACATCCCACAACAGAGGACGAGTACGCTTCGTTGTTGGAATGAAATAAGGTAGATAATTGTCCCTCCCTTTGCCCCTTTTGATCTAGGCGAGCTAGGGTATTTTATATATTGTGAACATTTCTACTTATCATTTTATTGACTAAGTGACAGAGTGTTAGGCTAAGGGCCAAGAGCTCATTTAGTAATGAGTTGGTGCGTGTGAGCATTAATGTGGTGATGTTAGTGATCCTGGAGGTGGTAGCTGGTATGCAAGGAGCCAGCATCGTACTCTGAAATGCCCAGCTGATCGCATTGCTAGAGGCATGGGAGAGTCACGACGTTTCTGACAGTTGGAGCTTTCAGCTCATCATGTTGCCAGAGGCGCGAGGTGTGTGCCCGCGGCTCGAGGTGTGGACCCAGTCATCTGACTGTGTTGCCAAAGAGGAGGAGTCAAGTCAAGAGGAGTGTTGCCAACAGCGGACGATATCCACTTATAGACTTTTCTTTATGCAATTTATATGTGTATATATGCTTTTTCTTCAGTAAACTTTTAAACTAACAGATTTAACAGTCTCCGTGGTGTAGTGGTAAGACACTCGCCTGGCGTTCCGCGAACGCTATGTCATGGGTTCGTATCCTGGCCGGGGAGGATTTACTGGGCGCAATTCCTTAACTGTAGCCTCTGTTTAACGCAACAGTAAAATGTGTACTTGGATGAAAAAACGATTCTTCGCGGTGGGGATCGTATTCCAGGGACCATAGGATTAAGGACCTGCCCGAAACGCTACGCGTACTAGTGGCTGTACAAGAATGTAACAACTCTTGTATATATCTCAAAAAATGAGTTTAAGTGAGCCTCCATTCTCTAGGGCTATATTTATATGAGATAATTTTATGAACCTTGCACTGCACGTGATATTGCATCCTTGATTAAGGTAACCAAAAAGACCACTGACGTGTTGCTGGGACACGAGTATAAACACTCAGCTGGCGACCTGAGTAGACCAGATATCCAAGAGAGCGTCCCAGTGTCAGGACGGGCGAGTTCAGGTGAGTCATAAGAGGCTTGAACCTCCCCACTCGCTAAGGGTGTATAAGGCCAGCCCTTGGCCGACTGGGGGAGCCGAAGGGCGAGCAGTGGTGCTTGGTACTGAGGGGCTAAGACCCGTGGGACGACCCCAACTACAGGTAAGAAGGGGGTGAACCTTGACAGACGATCTACATGACACACCTGCGTCTTACAGGGTCGGTCCGGCCTGCTGTTTTCATAGTTCACCTGGCCTAACGGCTTCAAACCCCTGTATGGTTCTTTGAAACGCGGTTAAGTCACCTTGCGTATTCCGGGTAGCAGCACCATCACCCGGGTCCCAACCTGGAACTTCCTTGGGACGGCCTTCCGATCATACCAATCGAACATCTTCCTCTGGGCATTCCTCAGATGCTCGGCCGCCAACTTCTTCGCACTTCCAAGTTGTTCACTGAATTTAGACACATACTCGTCGACTGATTTCATGGCCACTTCATGATTTCATGGCCACTCAGCTGTTCCTTCAGCATCGATAGTGGACTATGCACCTCGTGTCCATATACGAGTTGAAACGGCGAGAATCCCAGAGACTCCATCACTTCGTCCCGTATCGCAAATATCGCTGGATATGACGGCCTCATCCCATTCTGTTCCTTGTCCGACGTAGAACACTCTTAACAGGGTCTTCAAGGTCGAGTGAAACCTTTCTATCGCTCTTTGTGACTGCGGTCTGTAGGGCGAAGACTGAATCTGGGTTATCCCCCAGGTTGCAATAATTTGTCTGAATCATTTCGACTGGAACACGCTCCCACAATCAGTCTGAATCTCTTTGGGTATCCCCACTGAAGAGAAAAACGTTGGAGCTGTCCCATAATACTCTTTGATGTTAGCTGTCGCACCGAGACCGGTTCTGGAAACCTCATTGACGCACACATAATCTTCAGCAAGTAGAAGTTCTCTCTCTTCGTTCGGGGCAAGGGTCCCACACCGTCTATCAGTAGACGCTCAAACGCTTGTCCAAAAGCAGGGACAGGAACCAGAGGGGCCCTCGGTATTGCCTGCACGTTTTTTCGCGCCCTCTGACAAGGAAGACACGTTTTACAATGACGTCTCATTCCCGGCCAATAGAAGTGTTCCCTGATTCGGCTCCGCATCTTGGTTTCTCCAAGATGACCTGCAGGGTCCACTGAGTGCGCCAACTCCAGCACTGCTCCTCTGCATCGAGTCGGTAACACTACCTGCCGCTTCACTCCTAGTGCCTCCATATCGGCTTCTATCCTCACTGGTCTCCACTGCCGCATCAGCATCCACTCTTCTAAGTAGAAACGCATAGCAGTCTCGGGTCCAGCGCTACCTCCCTCAGCCTCTAGTATTCCTTCGGGAAATTCCTCTCACTGCAGCTCGCCCAGTCGAGCACGATCCAACTCGAGAGGACTGGTGAGAATTATCTGTACTCCGTCATCCGGGTTCCCACTACATTCCATCTGCCCTCCAGGTTCCTCGCAGAGTCGATCGATTCCTAGGCTGTCAGGCACATCCTCTCCAGCCTGACCAGATCCACTTGTTTCGCCTTTGACACTATCTCGGGAATACCGCACACACAGGGAACACTCCCTCAGCGATCTCCCTTGCGTTTCCCCAGGTGTCCTATGCACTGCCTCCCATTCTATGGTGTTCCAAACACTCCTCGCCCTTAACGAGGTTTGGGAGTACACATCCCGCACATGAGTCATTTCCCAGAATGACCTGGGCCTCCATCTTAGGCATCGAGGTGCAGACCCCCACCACTAGGGTCTTGCAGCCGTAGTCAGAGTCCAAAGAGGCATTCTCACTGGGCCACTCACAGTGGTCACCATCGCCACCCACAGTGGTCACCATGGCCACCCCCACACTGGTGTCCTCATAACCCTCCGGGAATAGGGTCTCACTCACCAGGGTAAAGTCTGTTCCAGTATCTCTCAACATCTTCACAGGAATGGGGTCGGTCCCATTTATCTTCACAGTACCTTCACAAATAAAATGGTGGATCTTTTCCTCCCTTTCTAGTGGAGATTCGCTCACAACGTTCTTGTCTCCATGGTCGTCTATTCTGACCAGTGCCACATTTCCGCATTGACTGGGGCGACCACACTCATGTGCAAAGTGTCCATGCCCACCACAATAAAAACATCTGACTCTCCTGGGAGGCGACTCTCCACCTGTCACTCGGGCAACGCTCCCGGAAACCGAGGTCCCCTGGGTTCTCCTCGCGCCCCCGGTCATTGTCTCCCTGGCAGCGTTCCTCTCTCCAGCAACAGTCCCGGCGTTCCTTAATTGGGGTCTCCTCACTGGTTCCCCTGAAGTCTTGGACCGACTCACCTCACTGTATAAACTATTCTTGGGAGAGTCTCCACCCGTCCTCGCTCCTCCTGAACTCTTGACGTTTCCCCCAAACCTTGGGTAAGGCGAGTGCCTGGGCGGTCCCTCCTTTCTGAGATGTAGTGCCTCTTCCAGCAGGTCGGCTCTGTCTGCAGCAGTCTTAAGTTCTCTAATACCTGCCTCCTTGATCCTGACCCTTAGATCTGGATGGAGCATGGACATGAATCTTTCCATCACCATCAACTGCTTCAGCTCCTCCATCGTCTCCACTTCTTCGGCCTTCAGCCACCGCAGGAACCTGCGCTCCATGTCCCGAGCGTTCTCAGCATACGACCTTCCGGAAGCTCTTGTGCACTCACGGAACCATTTCCTGTATATCTCCGAGGTTAGTCGATACGAGTAAAACACAGCTTTCTTGATCATGTTGTAAACGCCACACTCCTCAAGGTCCAACATGTTATAAGCTTCCCTGACCTCGCCAGTCAACCTACTCTGCACTAACGCAGCCCAATCCTCTTCCGGCCATTTCTTCAATGTCGCTATCCTCTCAAAATGGTCGAAGAAAGCTTCGGTCTTTAGATTTAAAGGTTGGTAGGTCGCGCTCCCGGACCCTGGGGGTCATCCCGCTGAGCAGACACCGAGGGCAGCCCGTGCTCCGCCCGACGCATCTCAACTTCTTTCTTCGCTTTTATTTCTTCCCGTCACAGTTGTCTTTCTCCTTTCTCTCGTTGCAGTTGGGCTTCGCGCTCCTCACACTTCAGCTTAGACTCGTGCTCCTCCCGCTTCAGCTTGGCTTCGCGCTCACGCTCTTATCACTCTAATTGGGCTTCACGCTCCTCTCGCTTCAGCTGAGCTTCGCGTTCCTCCTGCTTCAGCTGGGCTTCGCGCTCACACTCCTTTTGCTCCAGCTGAGCTTCGCGCTCCTCACGCTTCAGCTGAGCTTCAAGCTGCATTTTCATTATCTGCAGCTTGATGCTTCTCCTGCTACCACCGCTGGATCCCCTACTGCTACCTTCGTCACTCCGGTTCCCACCAACACTGGCAGGTACTTGGGGCGGTCCTTCCTTGGAAGCCTCCTCTCAGGCCTTGAGCTGAGCCATGATCTCAATCCGACGCTCCGCCACCCTGAAGGACCTCAATCTCAACTCAAAATGGTCCGCCACTAGCTGCAGCTGAGCCTTGGTGCACTCTTCCAACTCCTGCTCGTCCCTCGACTCAATAAAAATTTTCACTCTGTCATCCTCCATCTCTAGGCTATTGAGTAACCGAATACAGGGAATACACTAGCGAGCAGTGTAAACCGAGACCAATATCGACCTTAATACACTTGCCCTGCACTTGCAATCCTTTGTCCACTGTTGCTTGGTGTATCTTGGCAAGGTCGCCACTGTCAGGGTTCATCCCCTTCGTACCTGTGGTTGGGGTCGTTCCACGGGTTTTAGCCCCTCAGTACCAGGCGCCACTGCTCGCCCTTGAGCTCCCACAGTCGGCGAAAGGCTGGCCTTATACACCCCTAACAAGTGGGGAGGTTCAAGCCTCCTATGACTCACCTGAACCTGCCCGTCCTGACACTGGGACCCTCTCTTGGATATCTGGTCTACTCAGGACGCCAGCTGGGTGTTTATACTTGTGTCCCAGCAACACGTCCGTGGTCTTATTGGTTATCTTAATCAAGGATGCAATTTCAATTGCAGTGCAAGGTTCATAAAATGATCTCATATAAATATAGCCCTAGAGAATGGAGGCTCACTTAAACTCATCAGTTAGTTTAAAAGTTTACTGAGGAAAAAGCATATATACACATATAAATTGCATAAAAAATGTCTATAAGTGGATATCGTCCACTTTTAGCAAGACTCCTCTTGACACGTCTCTGGCAACATGGTCAGCTGACTGGATTCACACCTCGAGCCAAGGGCACACACCTCGCGCCTCTGGCAAAACGATCAGCTGACGGCTCTAACTGTCAGGAACGTCGTGACTCTCCCATGCCTCTACCAATGCGATCAGTTGGACGTTTCAGAGTTCGTTGCTGGCTCCTTGTACACCAGCTACCATCTCCAGGATCACTAACATCACCGCATTAATGCTCACACGCACCAACTCCTGCCTAAATGAGCTCTTGGCTCCTAGCTTAACACTCTGTTACTTAGACAATAAAATGATGAGTAGAAATGTTGACAATATATAAAATACCCTAGTTCGCCTAGATCAAAAGGGGTAAAGGGAGGGACAATTATCTACCTTATTTCATTCCAAGTAAGTTTAGTCTACAATCATCAGCAGATTTCCTAGAATTGATCAAATCTACCCAGCCCGATGGAATCATCGCTTCCCTGGACGTTGAAACCCTATTTACCAACGTCCCAGTCGACACAACCATAGGAATGATACTGGACAGAGTATACAGAGACGAGAGCACCCCCAAATTAGACATACCTGAGCCACACTTGAAAAGTCTTCTCGAAGCATGTACAAAGGAAGCCCCTTTCATCAGTCCACAAGGAGACATGTATTTACAAATAGACGGAGTAGCAATGGGCTCCCCCTTAGGAGTTTTATTTGCTAATTTTTATATGGGAACCATCGAAGACAGGGTCTTCAGTAGCAGACAAAAACCAACTGTATACTGCCGTTATGTAGATGACATATTCGTAATAGTAAAAGACTCAGATGAACTAATTGACCTAAAAAGACACCTAGAGAGAGAGTCAGTACTCCGATTTACACAAGAAAATAGTGAAAATAACAGTCTGCCATTCCTGGATGTACTAATAACAAAAACAGGAACCTCTTTAAGCACCAACGTATATACAAAGCCCACCAACATAGGATTATGCCTGAACGGTAGAAGTGAGTGCCCCCAAAGATACAAAGCCAGTGTTCTCAATGCTTATATTCGTCGAGCGCTTACCCACTGCTCTGAATGGAGCAACGTGAGTAGAGAGTTTGAAAGAGTAACTCAGGTATTGGTGAACAACGGATATAGCAACGCGGAAGTAAACGCTGCTATATGAAGACACTTGGACCGTTGGTATAATTCAGAACCTAGAACAGAAACCACAACACCCCCAATAAAATTATATTACAAATCAACCATGCACAGTGAACATACAAAAGAGAAAAGACTAATGAAAGAAATAATCCGTAAAGGAGTAAAAAGCACTACTCCTAACCAAAACATAAACCTGATAATATTCTACAAAACCAAGAAGACTTCTGAACTCCTTATCAAAAACAGCCCGAAGCCGACGGAGAACCCTCTACAGCAGTCAAGCGTTGTATACATGTACACTTGCCCCCCACGAAGGATGTAACCTTCAATGTAAGTACATAGGTATGACGTCAACCAAGCTGACGAGGCGTTTGACATGCCATCTTCAATCTGGTGCCCCTAGAAATCACATGAGACAAGCCCATGACATTACTCTAACAAGAGAAATGTTGAACAAAAATACCTGCATAATAGACAAAACCCAAGATGCAAGAAGATTACAAATTCTTGAGGCAATTCACATAAGAATAGAGCGACCTACCATGAACACCCAAATCACGGAACTATTTACTCTACCCACCATGAGAGTAAGGACAAGACAAGAACATATCGTTGCCAACACAGAAGACAATGTCCAACATAACAGGCCAATTACACTGGATTAATCTTTGTGTTTAGATAGGAGATGCCTCGTATGGGCCAATAAGCCTTCTGCAGCCCCTATGTTTATCCCTTATCCCTATGTATCCCCCCATGTTTTCACCTTCATTGTATTATCACCTGACCTAATGCGGGTATAAAATCAACTAGTATTGTAAGATCTGTTCACTTGAGAATGAACCATGGAGGTTCGAAACGTCGTGCAAATTATACAAATAAGTGTAATATGATGCTAAGAAAATAGTTAGAGGGATAGAAGCCCTAAACCAGAAAATAATAAATACAGAATATGCGGTCATATTCAATGAAACATGTTTGAAAGAAAACCTGCTGCCAGTATACACCAATATATATATATATATATATATATATATATATATATATATATATATATATATATATATATATATATATATATATATATATATATATATATATACCTAGTAGCCAGAACGTCGTACTTGGCCTGCTATGCAAGGCCCGATTGTGCCTAATACCTTTACTCGGTGAGCAACAGTATACTCAAGGTCACTCACCGTAGCCCTGCGGGTCTTCACTCTATCCTCGCGGCGCCACTGTACGCCAGGAGAGTATCCCAGTCAATCCCAACCGGCCTCTGATCGAGAAGGAGTGGGAACACAACTTGTTCTCTTAACTGTTGTATGCCCGCCCCAGCATAGGGCTCTACTACTAACCACAAGGTCGCCAACTGGTGTTTTCGGTGTCCAGTAACACGTCAGTGGTTTTGTTGAATTGTGGTAACAGTGGCAAGAGCACACTCAATATGTCTGATATCAGGCAGGTATTTACTTCTATCACTCTCTGCTTTCAGGTATTATATAGCCACAAGAAATATGGAGGGGATGATATAAACACCAATGTACTTTGTATTTTACTTAAAACTCATTCAAAGACATCACAAGATTATATCAATAAGCAAACAGCTGTTTCAGGCAGAAGTCGCTCGTTCCCACACATATAATCATGAACTCGCCAAGCCGGCAACGCTCCCCCTCACGTCAATGTCAAAATCAGCTGGGCGACTACCACCGCGCGAATGTTACTTTATCTGTTTGCTTGTGGCGTGACGCGCCAGTTTCTTTAAGTTCTCAAAGATCACTAGAAGTTCGAACACACAATATTTGCGACAATAGCACGTAAACACTTCGCTGCACTGATCTTGAGCTCAATCAAACATCTCTATATTAATAGACACAATAACTCACTATCATAGTATAACATACTGCCCTTCATTTAATGATAACGTATGCAAGTATATATCACTGGAGTTCTCAGTAATTCCTTCCGTGGGCGATAACACAATTAATCACTGCACACATGAATGATTATTCAATACACGAGCATAGACATATATATATATATATGGATGAGTCATAGACATCAATAATGGTAATAACATAGTTACTGGGCACATAGCCTAACTCCAAATACTGGCATATTTATATATATATTCTCTCACTAAATGATCATATTAAAGTCTCATGAAAGACATTATCAACACAGTAAATTCATCAATTACTCCGGGTGCCTGCACACACCAATAATAATCATAAATATCGTGAGTACTCTTTATAGTCCCACTCTGCACACTGGTGCCTTACTGTGACATAGGTGAGCCTTGCTCACGACATACAAAATACTCTGGCTAAATAATATAGCTGACTAAAGGGGAATTGGGAGGGAAACTAGAATCACCTACTTCCACCTATCCTCCGGTGAGAGTTGAGTTGTAGCTCCTGGTCCTGGCTCCTGCCTCGTGTAGGGAACGCCCCCACACACA